CAATACAACTTCAGATGAAATGTGTGAATCACCACGTTGTAGGGTCTGTAGTGATTCAGGGTAAAGACAAAAGCGAGGAAAGCAATGACCATGCTTTGAAGACACTTTCAAGAAGAAAAGCCAAGTTCAACCTCTACTAGAGATCATAACCAAAAGTGAGAAAGGGGGCAAATCACACAGAGTTAGACGGGTAATATAAGGAGTATGGAAACCACTCATACCATTATCGAAATCTAGACTTTTCCAATTTAAAAAATAACTACTTAGGGCCAGGAGTTTAGCTCAGCGGCACAAGCACCTGCCTGGCAAGCGCAAGGTCATGAGTTTGATTCTTGATACAAAACAAACAAAACAAAAAACAACAACAACAAAAAAACCCTACATAATACTAACCATGATTTAGAAGTAGAAAACAAAACAAAGCAAACCCAACCAGAAAGGTGTTGACAGAGGTAAAAACAAACACAAAAGTTTATCCAAAAACATTCTTGTGCACAAAACATGTATTTTTAATGTACATGAATTTATCAGCACACAGGAACCATTTAAACATTCATATTTGTTTTTTAGTTTTAATTTACAAGTACTAAGTAATATATATTTGTATCACTACTTTATAGTTACATGATACTAAATGGATATGTAAATCATCACAGAGAAATTATGATATGATTAACTCTACAAGATAAAGACAAGTCTGTCATTAAATAGGTTTATTTTAAGATTCTATCAAATTTAATGCTAAACTTCTTAAAAGTGAAGGAACTAGTTTCTATTCTAAAAGTAGTTTAAATAACTTGTTTTTAGTGATTTGAAGTTCTGTGAAACCACTGACTAAATTATAACCAATTTTAGATTTCATCTCAGTCTAGTCAAATCTCAGAAAAAAAAAAATCTTTTTTCATCCAGGAAGTTTGTAAGACTTCATACTAGTTACAATCAAAAAGTTGCTTAAAAGTTTAAATCAGAATAATCAGATGCTAGTATATGAAATAAAAATCTAACAAAAATGTATATATAAAACACACACACATACATAAATTCTTGTTTGAGTTCCTAATAATTCATAACATAATCAAATTTAGTTTAAGGTGAAACATTCAGAATCCATGTGTAAAAGAAATAAAGTGCTAAGAATATTGTTTCAAGGAGCTAGGGATATAGCTCAGGGGCATAAGTGCCTGCCTGGCAAGCACAAGGGTTCAGAGCTCGATTTCTAGCACAAAAAAAAAAAAAAAAGTTGCAAGACCAAACCAACAATCTAACTTTGTGACTAGAATCATATTTGTCAATTATGACCTTCATCTCAGCATTACTAAATGATGCCATTGTCTTAATATTTTAATAGAAAGCATTTCACCAATGCAGGTATTATTCGTAAAATACTTAATAGAACAAAGTATGATTCTAATCATACATTTTATATGAGAAAATCTTGAGGCAAAAAATGTTAAATTATTTGTAAAGACCTACAAAACAGTTTAAACACAAAACCAAAAATATCAATTAAAATCCACATTAATAAAAACTTGCTGATAAACTGCATGTGATATTGCAATGATATGAAACAAATTCACATACAAATGTACAAATAAATGAAAAAGGAACGAAAATAATCAAGAAGAAATTTTCTGTCTAGCCTGAATTACATACAAAAATGTGGTTTCAAAAAATCAAAGCTGCTAAAGAGCTAGTTCTAGTGAGTTACAGATGTTAGTTCAAGGAAACTTAAGAAAATAGATCATTAGAAGATCATTATGACCCAAGAAATCAATTTCACAGAATCTAATAGGCATATACAATGAGTACAGTATATCTCTGACCACTCATTAAAATATATCTTTATAGAAAATGAGGCTCTATTTAAAATATCTTATGATTATAAAACATATGTGTATTTAAGATACACTACAATTATAAAAATTCTACTTTAAATCAACAGTGTTTAAACCTGAATATGTATTGCTTTTTAAGACACATCACATTATAACCATAAAACCGTTTACTGTATTGCTTTATATCCATCTAACCTCAAAAATATTAATAAACACATTTAACTTCCTCTTCATTACCTTTTTAAAATCTTGGCAGAAAATTTATGATGTTATCTTTTTTAATAAAGTCAATTGAAGGAAGGGGACTTGACTATAATCAATTCTAAAGTAATAAACCATCATTTCTTTCCAGGAGATTTTCACAAAAATCCAGAAATTGGCATTTTGTATAATGCAATCAGTAATGAAAATCTTAAAATAGAAATTAATGAAATAAACAAAAGGCTTATACTATAACAAAAAATGTTATCAATCTTAGACAACAGTAGCTACTTCTTTAGAGATGCAAATGATACGAAGATACTCAATATATTTGAAAAGCCAAAAAAGTTTGCTGAAATATCAAAAAAGATTATTTTTTTTTTTGAGATGGGGTATCACTTATAGTCCAGGCTGGCCTTAAACTCACTAGATAACCCCGCCTAGCCTCAAACTCACAGCTATTCTTCTGTCTCGTCTCTTGAGTGCTAAAGGCAGGTATGCACTGCTATACAAAAGGTTTTTTTATACTTTAAATTTTATTTTTTTATATTTTATTGTTAGTATCTGTTTACAGTATATATTTGCATACATCTTAAGTACTGAGTACATGTACTTAACATATCTTGATTCTTCTTACTCCCCCTTTCTCTCCTCTTCCCCTCTTCCTAACTTGCTTTTTCATTATTTTTTAGTTCACGTTTGCAACAAATAATAATTGTATTTATTGTGGATAGTTGGTACATATACAGAACACATCTTAAATCTTTTCAATACCCCACCTACCCCAGCCTTTTGGTCACCTTTCCATTTGTTCTATCTCCCTATTTCCTTCTTATTTATTTTAGCCATCTTTTATTTTGCTCTTATTTGCATTCTGGATTACTGAGAGAAACTAGACAGTGTGCAAGCTTGCACATCAGATTTATTTCATTTATGGATTATGTTTTCAAAGTATATTCATTTTTCTACCAAGGTCTCAAATTTATCTTTCTTTATAACCAAGGAGCATTACAATATGTAGAGATACCACATTTTCTTTACCCATTCATCTGTTGTTTAACATACAGGCCACTTCCAAGATTTAGCTATTACCAATTATGGTGCTATAAATATTTATATGCATGTATTGCTGTAAAATGATGCATTTTATCAAAAAAGCCTCCAAAAAAAAAAGATTCGAAGACAGTACCTACATGGTTTAAGACAACTAAAATATGAGATTAACTGAAACTGCCTTCATATAAAGTAAATTTTGAAACAAAATTATTTTTTCCTAAGTTATGCCAAATATATATACATATAAAAAAACTATTAAAAATGTTTATATTTTCCTGTAGGAAAAAGCCCTGAATCATCTAGAAGTTCTAAAAACCTTTCAAACAACTAAAAAGAGGATCATGGATTCTACTTATTAGTTTTTAACTATTGCTTCAAATTAATCATGCTACTCAACCTCACCTTCAACCCCAATAACATGTTCTAGGTTAAATACTTATTATATAAGATTATTGTTTTTATTTTATTTATTATTGCAGTTTTATGTATATCATTATATTATGCTTATACTTGAGATTTCCTTTTCACACATTTCAAAAATTCATATTATCATCAGAATTACTCATATGCATCTATCTTGAGAACTTGGAACATTACCCTACGCGTAACTTGATCTGTAGGATATCTGTCACAGTATTCACATTAATTATGTTAACAGACATTAGTCAAAAATTCTGAAACTTTTAAAAGCACTTTGGATTTCTTTGTTTGTTTTTTGCTGTGATTTTTACTTTCTTCCTACATGAAAACAGTAACTAACAAATTTAAAATTGCATACCTTCATTAGATGAAGAAAAACAAAAACGAAGTTTTTGTTTTGCCAACCTAGGAACTGAATTCGTCACCTTCACAGTCTGAACAAGCTACACGCCTAGTCATTTATATTCTCAGACAAGGCCTCACTAAATTACTCAGGCTGAGCTAAAACTCAGCACCGCACAGATTGCTGGAATTACAACCTTGTACCACTGTGCCCAGCTAAAACTGACATATTCTTAATGACTAAAAAATGAATCATGTAATTCAAAAACGTTTTATCAATGTAAGTGTATAGTTTCAAATGTTTAATTTTTGTATTTTCAGCTACTTTAATAGAAGTTTCCCAAAAGACAATTTTTGGAAGCTACTATGAAGAGCTCACTAGCTGCACCTCTGTCTGCCATTATCCTGTGAAAGAGTGATGGTTCTGTTAAAGGAGGTCTCTATGCTAACTCTTTAGTCCGGATCTCACCCAGCATTTGGAATGATCTCTTCAGTGCACAAAGGCTAACTAACTCATAGTCCTGTGCCTTCAAGAACATTTACTATGCAGCAGCAGCTGAGGTTCCTCATTAGCATTATGTTTAATAATAAAAAGAAAGTATACCAAAAAAAAGCCAAAGAAACAAAGGGAAAAACAAAACAAAAACAAAATCTACCTAGGCCATCTTTTCACCTTTCTTTATTTCATAAGAGAGAAGCATTTAACACATTCATTTGATAATAAGAAGTGCTAATGAAGCTCTTGCCAATAAAACCTGATTTATCATCAGTGCTGACAAACTTCAACTTTTGGAATATACTAACACAGGTTAGCAACTATGGTTTTATGAGCAATAATCATAGCACAAAGTTTTTAGATCAAATTATTTTTGTGGCCTCTATACACAAAGCATTGTCAACTTCTCTTGTCAAGAGAAAATTAATTCTATTGTGCTCAGAATCCAAATTATCATTCTTATTTGCATCTAAATTCAGAGTATGTGTCAAGTTAATACATGGGTAATATCGTTTACAAAGCATTGTTACCACTAAATAAGATTTTATGAAGAGCTTAGGCTGCAAATTTTTTTAAATTTTATCTGCGATGAGAAAGGATGAACATGGGACTTGAATTCCCTAAAGACCAAGTCTAAGCATCTGATTTACCTGACAAGATTTTCATTGTCTCCAGTTCCTTTGCATGTTGCACACTCAGTTCTCAAGTCTTCAGCCTTGGGCTTCTTTTGTAACACAGACTGTCTTTGTCTTCTCTCTCTAGGAACTCTTTCCTGCCATACAAGTAGGAAGAATAAAATAAAACAAAATTAGAAACTGAGGGAAACAAATAATTTTAGCAAGAAAGTTTCTCAAAAACTGTGGAAAGTGCTTAACTTATTCCAACCTCATGTTTTTCTTCCTCAGGAACAAAGCTGCGTTTCCGTCCTCTGGTTCTCTAAAAGAAAAGAAAATCCAAAAAAATCTAATGTGTAAATAATGATAACAATAAATTTTCTCTGTTAAATATTACTAAAGTTACACTTAGAAAATTAACATTTCTAGCTAATGTTACATAGCTCCACTACATTTCGTTGTAATTTATGTCATCCAGAAGAAAAGCATAACAAAATAACACACTTTAAAGTGATTTTTCTTGCTTCATCCTTAGCTGTTGGATTGATTATGCATGGTCTCTTGCTAGTTTAAAGATATCTTTCTTTTCCTGGTTGCTCGTCCTCCATTCCTGTCTTATGGATATGATATTCTATCCTCAGTATCATTCAATTTGCTGAATATACTTTCAGTGGAAATCTCCTGGCATTTGTGTGAATCCGTTTCACTGATGTCACTTCTTTTCTATGTTTGGCATTCATAGTTTCCATTGTTTTCCTATTTGTTTTTCTGTGTCTGCTTTAAGTTCTTTCATTTTGACAGTCATTTCCTTTTGCACTTTAGAGATTACTTTATCTATGGCCTCTTCCATTTGTTCTTTCACTTTTGTTACTATCAATTCAGAGAGTCCCATTTGTTGCCTTCTCATTTCCTCTGCCTGTGCTCTGGACCTGTCCAAGGTTGGCTGGGTATCTGGGACTGCATTTTGCTTCTTCGTTTTATCATTTCTATTTTCTATTTTATTTTGCTTTCTGTGTTGATGCTTGTATTTCTTACATGAGATAGACTTATCACTGGTGCCCAGGCTTTCCTAGAAAGTGTTGATCCTCTGGTTGTCTTCTAGAGGTAGGAGGTTCTTGGTCTGTGTCTATCCCTAGTGCCAACCTTCCTGTTATTTATTTAGGCTGAGAAGTTCATATCTATTTGATTTAGGGCTCAATCTTTTGATACTGGACTATGGTGATGGTTGTAACCCTTAAGAATTGCAATATTATCTCACTGTATTAAAAGGCTTTCACATAACAAAAGAAATCACCGAGAGCAAAAAAAAAATAACCCATAGAGTGATAAAAAAATTACAGCCAGCTGTCCCTCTGACAAAGTACTTGCATCTACAACATATAAAGGATTGAAAAATATCTAACCTCAGAATTCAAAGACTCAGTCCAAAACTGGACATATGAGATGAGTATACACATCTCAGATGAACAAATACAAATAGCAAATAAATACATGAAACAAATGTTCAAAATCACTGGACAGTCAGAAGATACAAATTAAAACAACACTGTGAGTTCATGTCACCCCAGAATGAAAGACTATCATCAAAAAAATCAATCAATAACAAAAGCTGGAGAGTCTATTGGGGAAAAAAAGAAAACAGTCTCCATTGTTCATAGAAATATAGACTGGTGCAATCACTGCGGAAATCAGTCTGAAGGTTCCTCAAAAAGCTTTAATTGGAGATCCCATTTGATCCACCTATTTCCCTTCTTGGTATCTTCCCAAAAGATTAAAAATGTCATATCATAGCAATATATGTGCACCCATGTATATAACACTACAGTTTATAGTAGGTAAATCTTGGAAACAACCCAGCTGCACATCAATGAAGTAACAGATAAAAAAGATTTTTTATATATATACATATATATATATACATATACATATATAATGGAGTACTACACAGCCGTAAAGATGATAAACTGGAGACTTTTATAGGTAAATGGGTGCAACTCAAGACCATACACACAAGTGAAATAATCAGACTCATATATGTAAACACTGTATTGTTTCACTAGTGTGAAAAACTGAACAAATAACTAGCATACAAAATATACAGCAGATATTATAAAATGGGAAAAAACTATTCCAAAGGAAAGACAAACTATGATGAGGGAAAAGGGAAAGAAAGGAAGAGAAAAATATATTTATATACAAGATAATTAAGACAGTTATACATCTGGTTTCTCTTAGTTCATTGAAAAGAAAGTTTTGTACTAATATAGTTTGGACAGGACAACATGCATATATCTTGTACTCCGAATATATAAATGAAGACAAAAATATCCAAAGTATTAATTATTGTAACTCTCTTAAAATATTTTGAAACTGTTTTAATATTATTTTTAGCTTTTATACTTTAAAATAGAAAAATAACTTTGATTTTTCAATACATATTTGAAAAGAATAACATATCCTAAATTATCCTGAAGGATTTTTTTCAATACTTCACATTTATAATTATGATTTACTTGGTGCATCTCAATTTTCATAACACATCTCATCTACACAGCTGAAATACTAAGAAACCCAAAGAGTCTATCACATCTACTGTTTGCTTACGTGTGAATATACATGTTTTTGCAATGTAAAGAAACAAGTAAGTCTTAAGTCACCATTAAAAGGGGGAGAAAACAAGTTCACAAGGCCTCAAATCCTAGTAAAAGTAAAACTAATGAAAAGAATTCAGTTATAATTTTACACCTCATATTTCAGAATATATTTGCCATTTGAAAAGACATCCAAATCTTCAAAAGTAGTGTTTAGTATAATAGAGTTTGTAGCCAATATGCATGAAATCTCTATTCACAGAGCACAACCTCTGTAGATTTATGATCTCCAAATGCAGACTATTCTTTAGAAATTAGAAGAAATACCACTTATCTTAGTTACTTTTCTTCTCTAAGACAGGCTAAGACAAAATGCCTGACATCCAAAGTTAAAGAAGAAAAGGTTTATTTAGGTAACAATTTATAGAGGTTTTAGTTCATAAATGGATGGCCCAAAGCAAGGTGGCATTGTAGGGGAAAAACAGTTCATGGTGGGTAGAAGATAACAAAGCAACAAGAGAAGACCACAGCTCCTTCTATCCATTATCTCTTATCCAGGCTATTTAGGGCTGGTAGCAGTCACCCTTAATCCTAGTGCACCTGATCCTAGCATTGCACCATGAACCAATCCCAGTGTCACACTCTAGATCCAGTTACATTTGAAAAACACTTATGACCACATGAGGCTTTGCAAGGAGATCTAAGCACCAATCTTTACTCTACTCTCACAAGTTACTCACACAGTGAAGATTTTTAAAAGATTCATTCCTAAATTACAGTGGATATCAAATAATTACAAAAAGAATTACTTTCTAAAATAAACATTTGCTTAAATTACTGTATTTCTAATTTTTATCATATAAACTCCATCATTATTTAATCACGTGTCTAATCTCAAACTATTTTATCTGCCACTAGACAACCACAAGGCAGTTAAAGTTGTTCAAAAGAAAAAAAAATTATAGGCTATGTAGCCTTTTACATTTGTATTACTGACCGGAATTTTTAAATTACATTTTGGAATTAATTAGAAAGAAAAAATAGGGCTGTATCTTTAAATGTAGGCCCAACATCTATTATTCTCAAAGAATAGCAGTAAACCTTGCTTCTAAAACAGTATCAACTGTGGCCCATAAGCACTGACATCTGCTAAGCTCCCACTAGAAACTCAGAATCTCAAGCTCACTCCAATAAATTCAGATAGAATCTACCTATTAACAAGAATCCCAACTAAGTAATGTGTATATACACATTAAAACTACTTGTAGAGAAGAGTCTGTAATATCAACAACATTTATTCAAATTCTGACTCTTTCTCAGCTAGCTGTTTCTATATTCTGTCTGTTATTCAATGCTTCAATTTCTGTCCCAGAAAAAAAATTCATTTCAAAATTGGTAAGGATCATGTAACCTTTCTTATTCTGTGCCCAAATAATTTTAATCATATTACATAAAGAAAAAGTCAAGAATTTTTTATTTTAATAAAGTACATTTAGACCAAAAATAAGGATTATACTATATAATACAAATGTTGAAAGATTGAGCAAAAGTTTTGACTATTTTTCCCTTTTTTTGGTGATCTATTATCCATTTCCATAATTTATACACACAACTTTTCAGTAAGGTTTTAGAATAGTAAACTACGCTAAGAGGAAAAGATTTGACCAGTGATATAGCTCAGCAGTGCAGAACCTGCCAGGCAAGTACAAGGTCCCGAGTTTGCTTCCAGGCACCTAAATAAATAAATGTATGTATGTAAGAGCAAAAGATTAAAATGCTTCATTTTAGTTCAATTAATTTCTGAACAATCTCTGTTTAATCTGTTTTTCTTTGTCTAACCCATCTTTTAGGTAATGAAGTATCATCTAGTTTTGAATTGATTTTTCAACGTTAATGTTACAACTTCATGTTTTCAATTCTTTGAAGAAATGTAATTTCAAATAAAGCATCAAAATGCCTGCAATTAGTAGTTTTTCAAATTTCAGCAAGTAGTTTAACATTTTCAAGTAGATTTTCAGGATTTAATTATTTTTATAGACTTTATCAGCTGAATATTTTTATTCTTGAATTAAAAATACACTGAATTCTGAAATGCTCCAAAATCTGAGACTTCTGAGTGTTGACACTCAGAAAATTTCATATTTTAAGGCATTTCACATTTTTGTATTTGAGATGGTTAACCTACTTATACTATGAATAAATATGAGTAACTTTCTGGCAGGTGTTCAAAATGCTTCAATAGGAAGTTTATTCTTATGTATATATGAATATATATATAATATACAATTATTAAAGCCTCCAATGATGAAACTATACTGAACACAAATCACAGATGAAAATTCTTAAAACATTAAGAGAAAGTGCTCTGTATTTTTACATACTTGAAAACAAAGGAGGAACAAAGTGCCATCTGTTTCCATTGGCTACCAACAAACAACAGATGTAATGGTAATTATCAAAAGGGAATGTTTTCTTTCTGGCCAGTAGGGTTGTGGAGTTTATTTTTATCTAATAACAGGATTATGAAAATATCGGAAAAATAAAAAGAAAATGATGACCAAGTATAGTTAAGCTATAGCTTAACTACTATAAATTAAAATAACTATAGAACTAAATATAAAGTATAAAAAATATATTTTACATAAGTAAGCTTTCTATAAAACCCTTCTCATTGATAATGATATATACAAAGTAAAATCCTGAAGGTTCATCTGTTCTTCATTCTCTGTAA